TTTAGGAAAAAAAAAGAGGACACGAGAAGTATAAAATTATAAATATATATTTAACCCTAATTATATCTTATAGTCCAAGCAGTCTCCTTTCTCGCCATGCCAAAGCTCCCTTTAACATTCATCAAAATCAAGAATAAAAAATGCATCCAATATTTTTCAAAGTCGAGTATTAGTAGTTTCCTCTTTGTTCATCGAAGTTGAGTGTGAAAGGTCCATTGTGCACGTTGAAGCTGAGCATTGTAGTTCTCTTTTGTTCATCAAAGCTGAACCTGCACCTGCTAAAGTGAAAGTCATATGCTTTGTTTTCGCAATCAGAGCTTGAGTCAAACCTATTTGTTGAAGCCGATCCAAATATCTCGCGAACTTTACAACACTTACACTGAAGCTTCATCTGTTCATCGAAGCTAGGAGATTTCAAAGCTTCCTTGTTTTGTATGTGATAATTTATATATTTTTTTTACTATTTAATGAGTTAAGTTATAAATCTATATTTATTCTAATTCTAAAAGTTAAAATTTTAACTTAATTAATTAAACAAGGTATAATCATATGATATTTGAAATTTTAGTAGATAAGTTGGAGGATTTCTTTTGAAATATATTGTATGTTCAATTTTGAAAACTATTTTTTATAAGCATGAAATTTCATAATACAAGCTAAATTTATAAATATAAAATTTATTCTTGAATATTGTTTTGTAAAGTTTTAATAAAGAATAAGGAAAATAAATATATTTTATATTTATAATTAATTAAATATTAAAACATGTCCATGACGGGTCATGTCTTAATTTTTTAAATTGTATTGTGTCCTGATCGTGTTCGTGTCAGTGTCCTATTATTCGTGTCCGCGCTTCATAGCTGAAGAGTCGTTCAACTCAAAAGCAAACTCTACAAAATCACCATGAAAATCAAACTGACCCAATGCCTCCCGTCCATAAAATCTCTAATAGACTAGGCAATAAGGATATCATTTTTCATATACTCAATGATCTACCATCTCAATATGAAGCCTTCAAGATAGCAATCAAGACCAAAATCACACTAATCAAACTTAAGGATTTGTACTCGCTGCTACATAGCGAAGAAATCAACCTTCAAACGGAATAAGCAAATGAGCACCCTCTTACTGATGTTCACACTTCAATTCAAGTAACACGTGGTCGCGACAATCCCTATGGACAAGCATGAGGCAGGAACATTCAATGAAGAAGATCGACCACAACTCCTAGACCTCCACATAGTCAAACACCTCAATTTGCAAAATCTACAAGAAATCAGGACAGCGCCAATGATTCCCCTCCTACAACTAACAAATCACCTCAAATTATTCTTCTAACTAATCAGCAACTCGTTTCCAGATACCAGTGCTACAAGCCACCTAAGACTTCATCTCAACAACTTACAACAACACACACCATATCAAGGAACAATTGAAGTTTTGGCTGACAACGGTACATTCCTTCCAATTGCCAAGTGTAGCCGAAGAATACTCCTCACCCCATCTCATAAGCTTCATCTCTCTAACCTTCTCCATGTTTGCCAATTCTCACGTAATCTCCTATCCATTTTTAAACTCACTATTGACAACAATTGTGTTGTTTACTTAGATCACTCTGGCTGCTCCATCAAGGATCTTGCGACCAACAAAACTCTTCTGGAGGTCCAGCAGCTTCAACCCTGCCACTTTTGGCCTTCATAACCAAATGTTCCAACAATCTTTTTGGCCACCCTCACAGACTAGTTTTGTCTAGCATTGCTAAATCAAGCAAACTTCTATGTATTAGTCCCTCTCCCTTATTTTAAAATTCCTGTAACTTGGCCAAGTGTCATAGATTATTCTTTCCAAAGAATCTAACTCACTCGTACAAGCTTTTAGATCTAATCCATGCTAATGTTTGGGGACCCTTTTCTATTTCCTCTCATGGTGGACATAAGTCTTATGTACCGCTACTTGATGATTACTCTTGTTTTTTCTAGAATTTTCCCATGCATAATAAATCTGAAACACCACAAGTTATTTCATTTCATCACTATGCTTGAAGACCGATACAATACTTGTATCAAAATATTTATATCTGACGGTAGTGGAAAATAGAACACCACCCTTAAATCCTTATTTTTCTATTAAAGGAACCTTACATTCCACCGCAAATGGGGTCACAGAAAGAAAATAGCGTCGTCTCAGACACAACCCATGCTCTTCTACAAGAAGCTCGCCTTTCTATGTGTCTGCCCCACCCCCCCCCCCCCCCCCCACCTCAACCTACCTTATCAATCGCTTATCAGCAACCGCTAATATTAAATCTCCTTATCAGCTTCTCGACAAGAAAAATCCCTGAATACTCCCTCTTAAAGGTCTTTGGCTGCTCCTGTTTGTCCTAACAACGTCCACAATAACCCATGAAACTCTCCCCACGCTCAACGCAATGCATTTTCATCGAGTATTTAGATTCCCGTAAAGGCTATTACTGCTTTCAACCATTCACCAACAAAATAATAACATCAAGGCATTTCATCTTTGATGAATCCACCTACCTATATACTCATCTAACTTAAACCCACCCTAACCTCCTACTCTACAATCAATCTTTTCACTAGCACCAAGCCATGTCCACTGAGCTTCTTGCCTTACAACAATAAAGGACATCCACTCTTGCCCCACCTCCTTCAAATCAATGAATTTTTGACTTGTTTTTGGACCTTTAAAACCAAACTAAATGCACAAGGCTCAGTCCCACGATACATGGCTCGTCTTGTAGCCCGTGGCTTTGATCAATAACAAGGTATCAACTTCACCGATACATTCAGCCCTGTTGTGAAAAAGCCAACCATCCGAATGTTCCAAAACATAGCGTTTCACTTTAGCTAGCTGGTTCTTCATTTTGATGTCTCCAACACATTTCTTCACTACACTTTACAGGACAATGTCTACATGCAACAACCTCCCGACTTTGAAGATCATCGATATCCTAATCATATATGTCTTCTTCACAAAGCAATTTACGGTCTCAAGCAAGCCCCAAGGCAGTGGTTTCACATCTTCTCCTCCTACATTACTAGCCACAGATTTCAACTCAAGAAAGTCGATCCCTCCCTCTTCACCTATACCAAAGGTGACATCAGTCTCTTCCTCCTTATCTATGTCGAAGCATACTCCTTACAGGCAACAACAACACATTGATATTTGATATTATAAGCAAGCTGGAGCATCTGTTTCATCTCAAAAACCTCATATAGATTTCATACTTTCTTGGAATCCAGGTTCATCACATGCCGAGCGGCTTTATACTAGACCAAATCAAATATGCCCAAGAAATCCTACAAAAGTCAGGAACGACCTACTGCAAAGCATGCCAAACTCCAATTCCATCCAAATTCCCACTACCTTGGCTATCAATCCCAATACCCCCACTGAAAATCCAACCACCTATTGCCAAATGGTTGGCTCACTATAATACCTAACAATAGTAAAACTAGACATAGCCTTCGCCATCAACCAATTATGTCAATCTATGCATAACCCATACCTCATCACGTCCAACTACTAAGAAGATTACTTCTCTAAATCAAAGGAATAATCACTTTGATGCTACCCATAACCAAATGGAATCTCACCCTCCGACCCAATTTACTCTGATTGGGCTCAAATCCCATTGGCCGCTAATCCACAATCGGTAGCTGCACCTTTCTGGTTTCTGCACTTATGTTTTGGACAATTAAACACATCATTGCTAGATCCTCCGCAGAGACCGAGTACAAAGCTCTCTTTTTTACAGCCTCTGACATCATACGGCCCCATCGTCTTCTTCTTGACTTCCACATCCCCTCTTTCAACCCCACTCCGCTGCATTCTGACAATACATCAACCAAGACTCTTGCCAACAATTCCGCGTTTTATGCTCTCACTAAACATATTAATATAGACCATTTTTTCATTCTGGAAAGAATACAATTTAAGGAAATCACCATGCTACACCTTAACACTCAAGATTAGCCAGTAGATATACTCACCAAAGCATTGTCAACTCACAGGTTCAAGAGTCTACGAACCAAGTTAATGTTCCAGTCCTTGCACCCCTCACAAGAGGGCTGGTGATAAGAGCAACCTCATATGGACCTATATGAAAAATCTACTCGCTCTGAGTCATACAAACACCACCTCCTTATACTACTCAGTCCTGACGGTCACACCTAAACTGACAAGCATTCAGCCGTTGATCTTATAACCGCCGCTGATCCAATGA